GTCGTCATCGTATAACCACATTTCATGGGTTCATAAGTATACTCTCTTCAGCTAGCTAGATGGTCTTTTTGGACTCTCTTGGGCTGCGATATCGTGGTGTGTCGCGCTGCCAAGGTCAGGGTGTTGCCAATGCGTCCAGGTGCGTCCATCGCAGTATGCGACGCCACGGTAGCGAGGTTCCACCTGGGGCTTTGAGCGACATCACTGCCACCAGCCGCTGCGGCGGATATACCTGTCCCCGAACCCTGAAGAGCTTCGCAACCCATTCGACCCACCCCGTTGCTGTTGACGTGCATACTGTACGCATGGTTACGCCTCTCTGCGCGGGCGCCAACTTGTGCGAGCATGTGCGGTCTCTTCCAAACCCCATCATAATCGACGATATCAAAATCCGCGCGTGCGTGTCTGGTTCGAGCCTGGTCGCCCCCGCTTTGGGCGCAATGCGCATACGTAGCGCACGCATGGTTGCAAGCTGTACGGCCTTTCGGACCATTGATCGTCACTATCAAAGCTGCCTTGGCTGCGCTCCAACAAATCAATCATTCCTCACAAAGGATGATCGCTTTGCCAGGGCCACCCCGAGGGCCCGAGACCCGTTCCGCGCGCAGGTATATAAACCGGAGGTGCGTCGAGGAGTGTTCCTTAGATCCTGTGGATTTCACGTCTCGCTCACTTTCCTTTACGCCCTCTCTCTCTCACTCTTTTCGTCATGCGTTCGACAGCTGCGCTGTTCACTCTCTCTGCTCTCGTCTCGTCCGCTCTGGGAGCGACGTACCCCGCCAAGGATAGTTTCGTTGGACAGGACTTCTTGACCGGCTTCGTTCACGAGACGATCGCGGATCCCACCCACGGCCGAGTGTAAGCGTCAGATATCCATCTGTTGTTCAGTGACTCATGTCAATCCTCCCTCACCAGTCAATATGTCGATCAAGCGACGGCGCTCGCTCAGAACCTGACCTTCGCGTCGGACACTTCCTTCGTTATGCGCGCCGATTCGTTCAACGTCCTCGACCCTGCCGGTCCCGGACGGTCGTCCGTCCGCATCAAGAGCAACGCTGCGTACAGCACGCACGTCACAGTGTGCGCGCAGTCTCTCCTTGATCCTGCGCCGTCCGATGCTTACCGTGATCGTGACCACAGCTTCGACATCAGGCATATGCCGCAAGGCTGTGGCACCTGGCCCGCTGCCTGGGAAGTCAACGAGGAGGCGTGGCCTGGCGAGGGTGAAGTCGACATCGTGCGTGGCTTCCTCGTCAACGATCTGGACCCCGTCGTCGGTGTTCTGACCACTTTTCGCACTTCATAGCTCGAAGGCACGAACGACATCGAGCCGAACCAGTCGACGCTGCACACGAGCCCCAACTGTGCGCAGCCCGCGACGGGTCGCGCGATGAGCGGCAACCCGGTCACGAACAACTGCGATACGAACGCGGACGGGAACGCCGGATGTGGTGTGCAGGCGACTGCTCCCAACAGCTACGGGAAGTCGTTCAACGCCGCCGGCGGAGGGTTCTACGCGATGGAGCGCACGACCTCGTTCATCAAGGTCTGGTTCTGGTCGCGCAACGACCCCGCCGTCCCTGCAGACGTTAAGACTGCGGGCGCGAATGTGAACACTGATGCATGGGTGAGTGATCCGCCTCTGCCTATCGAAGCCGTATTCCTATCCCCAGTCCCGTGGCTATGCATGCGTACATATCGCATGTGCGGACGTTTGGATGTCGAGCTGTGCACGGCGAGCTACGGATGATTGAGCTCCGGTGATGCTGACTCTGCTTTCGCAATGCAGGGCACCCCTTCAGCGCTGTTCGTCCCCGATACGTGCGACATCCCCTCGCACTTCGGCTCGCACAACATCATCATCAACCTGACGTTCTGTACGTACCGCCTTCCCGCTGTAGTACGAACCGTCCTGACCCGTTCCCATACACAGGCGGTGACTGGGCCGGTCTCCCTCAGTTCTTCAACACGCTCGGCGGTTGCCCTGGCGACTGTGCAAGTGCGTACATATCTCGCCCCTCTCCCGGTGCCATCGTGATCGTGCCATGTACTGACGTGGATCCGCACTGCACAGCCTTCGTCAACCAGAACCCGAGCGCGTTCAACGACGCCTTCTGGGACATTGCTGGTGTGCACGTCTACGCGTGAGCGCAGTGCAGTTTCGAACGCGACACGGAGGCGGCGCCCGAACACATGTGTTCAATATACCATGCAAGGATCGTCTGACGGCTTGATGCTGGCGGATCCTACTACGCTCCTCGGGTTGCGCAATATATGGGGCTTCGGTCCCGTCTTCGTGCGACGAAATGTTCATGTTTGTGACACAGCCCAAGATTGCGAAACGACAAGGACTGTGATTGTCTGTCCATGCTGAGAAGACGCTTGCAGGCTTCGTCGATCAATTGTCGACGACGAACACTGGGTACTTATTTATACTATGAGGAATTCTCAGCGGCGAGTGAGGTGTTTCAGTCCATGCATTCAGCTAGCTACAGTCTAGCCGATCCGCTATAAAGTACAAGTGATGAGAGCGTACTCAAAATCCAAGTGCGTGTTGGTTTCCCTCGTTCGAGGGTCCGCGTAAAGGTCCGCGCCAGGACGAAAAGCGAAGCCCTCTCGGCGAACACGACCGCCGCGTGACTATCGTATGTAGTGCTGAGCGTCTGGATTGCTACTTTTGCTCTATTAGCTACGGCTCGTGCTATCGTGCAGTGATACAGAGGTGCAGTAGCCCAATTTAAGTAGTCCCGAGTGTTCGCAGGGTGGCGAGAGGGAGGGAAGAGCGATCCGCATCTACATAAATCAGTCCGTTCACACCCACTTCAATGTGCTCCTGGCGCGATGCTTTGGATAAGTAGCGTCCGAAGGAACGGGGATTCGAGTGTCTACCTCGGACCTCGCGCCCTGGACGCAATCACCGCGATATATCGTGTCGTGCAGCGCGCGCGCGGGTGTCGAATGTTGTCGTCGTGCTCGAGAGGCCTGATCAGCGCTGGGTGCACCTGGGCGGTGGCGATCCATCTCTCCCTTCTCCCTTCTTCGCTGACCCCAGGCTGACCCTTATCCTTGGGCAGCGGCTTCGCTCCTTTGCCTTGACGCGGTCTTGTCTTCCTGACTGCCGCCAACTCTACAGCCGCCGATGTCGACGAAGCCAACGATTGTGGACAACAACAGACCAGGCGTCGAATTCTACATCAACCCCCAGTATGTCAACGTGACGGACCAGATCTCCGCGAAGGCGTACGACTATGTGCAGACTGCCCAGCTGTCTGCGTACAACCAGAGCCTGGCGGATATCACGACACCGAGATGGAGCTTCTCGTACGCATTTACCGGTACGTCTCGTCATCCTCGTCCACCTTCTGGATACGGCTCGCGCCCGCCCTGCTCATCAGACCTGTGTGGGTCCGCGCTGTGCCTACAGGAACGCGAATATCTCTGTTTGGCGTCGTCATTCCGTACATCTCTGGGCCACTACCAGCCGCGCAGTACGCCGTCGACGGCACATCGCTGAACACGTCCACTGTGCCGAACACCACCCGCACCCTCACTGGCGTCAACTTCTACACGTCCGAGTACTTCCCCTCCGGCCCGCACGTGCTCACCGTCAATGTCACGACTGCTACCTCGGACGGTCCCTACCTGTTCGACTATCTCGCGATTGATACGACGGATCCGCCAGCTTCCAGTTCCTCCTCTTCTTCCTCGGTGACGCGCTCCTCCTCTCAGACCAGCTCCTCCGCAAGTCCAAGTGGCTCCGGGTCCGCCCTGCACGCTGTGGCCGCGTCGAAGTCTGCTGCACCGACAGGCGCCATCGTGGGAGGGGTAGTAGGCGGGGTAATCTTGCTGGCCGCCATCGCGATCGGGGCATGGTGGCTGTGGAAGAAGCACAGGACGTACGACCAGTCGTCCTACTCATATGCCCGTACAGGGCAGTACGGTACGAGACTCAGTCCCTCAGGTCGCTCCTTGCATGTCACTTCTCACTTCCTACGGTTGCAGACGGCCCAGATCCGCACATCGAGGCGTACACGTACAGCTCTCCAGACGCATCCAGCTCGCACACGCCTGGGGAAGGAGCGTACAGCGAGTCGCTCTACTCTGGGGCGGTCGCTCCCATGATGGCCACAAGCTTCCACCGCCCCAGTCTACCCGCATCCGCACCCCAGTACTCCGCCGCCGCCCCCGTTAGCTCGAAGGCGTCGCTAGCACAGTCACGACAGCAGTCTTTGCCGTCGCAGTACTCCGAATCCCCGCCCCCCAACTCTGAGTACTCTATCTCCCAACCTCCGCGCTCTCAATACTCCATCTCGCAGCCGCATTCGCTAGAGGCATCACACGACGCGCTGGTTCCCGCCCCCGCTCCCGTTCCTGCTCCTCTCTCGGGTGCTGCAAGGAAAGCGGCGGAAGCGCGCCTCGAGCTCCGGCACCGCAATCCCCAGAAGCTGGCGGGTCGGACCTCAGCGCGGTGCCGCCGCCGTACGCGCCATAGCCAGACTGCACTGCCCGGCGTATGTGTCCGGGTGCCCGTCTAGACCTAGGGTTGCCTGCCAGCTGTGCTGCTGCTGGCGACGTGCTGACGTGCTGTATTTATTGCTTGGGCTTGCGGGGTGTCTACCACACTATGGACTGCTTGGATCTGTATTTCCGTGCCTTAGGGCTTGACATGACTTGTGTCGAAACACTGTAGCTGATTGCGCCGTTCGACGCCCGCACTGTACTGGAAGATACAGCCGCGAGATGGCAGGAGCAGGCTAGGATGCGAGGCGCAGATTGGAGTCTGCCTGCGGGATTCGTTAAGCATTGGAGCAGTCTGGGTCAGAGGAGCAACGCAAGACCACACAGAATCCCCTTTCTCCCGGTATGGGGAATACATACCGTGCTGCCTGTGACGCAACTTGTGCAAGCGTGAGGCAAGTCAGTCCTGCCCGACCTGCACTCTTAGTGTATGTTGGAGAAGTTCCTAAAAGGTTGTAAAAGCTACACTGATAATGGCGAAATGGACATGTCCGGGATTGAACCGGACCCCTCTCGCAGTTTCAGCCAGTTGAATACACAAATGCTAAGCGAGCGTGATAACCAACTACACCACATGCCCATACCTTTAGTTCCACTTAGTGAGTATAGATTCATTTCAACCTGAAAAGTAACTAAATACTAATGGGCCTGAAACTGGCAACTCAGACGCTCAGTGTTTGACCTTGTACGTAAGTGCCTTAAGTACGCCGACGCCGCCTGGGCCCTGGGTCGTATGTAGATGTGGTACTCGTCAGGTATAGTCACTTCTCAGCTCTTCTCAATCAGGGAGCTCTTGGCATGACGATAGGACGATAAGATACACCAGATGTAAGACTAGCATACAGCATGAGATCGAAGGGTCCTCGAGACCAACAAGTATTATATGTTACACAGACGACACAACACAATAGGTTACACCAAAACATCCAGACGTCCAAGCATACATGAAACGATGCACAGCAAACAAAAGTCCACTCATCTGCGCCTGCTCATGACAAAACAGCCCTCGTATCCAAGCACCTCGGGCGGGCTCAGCGTGTCCCTCCAGCGGCCGGACAGATTGCCCTCGGCGTTCCCGACCATGTACCCGCGGTACAGCCACCGGCCTCTGTCTCCGTCGACCTAGGGTCGCATAGACCGTCAGCGTTATTCCGGTATAGACGAGAGGGAAGAGACGTACGTATTCCTTGGACAAGCTGATGAACCCGTCGCATGGTCGTATACGGCCGACAAGATTGAACTGTCCCCAGGCGGAATGGCCCTAGAAATCAAGACACCTTTAGCAATAGATCATGGAAATCTTGACGCAGACGACTCACCTCTCCCGTAACAAAGACATCAACGAGCTTGCCTTTCGGCTTCTCCCCCGCCTTCTGTAGGCTCGGCCAGCTCCTGTACAGTACCGCATCTGCCTGACCCGACTCCTTGATCTCCAGTCCCTCGGATGTCTCGCGCACCTGGCAGCCGTTCGGTATGTACCCACGCAGCGGGTTGCCCGGGGAGACGGGCCAGACGTCCGGTGCGCCCGCTTCGTCAGGTGCGTAAAGGTGGTGTTCGCGGAGCTTCCACAGGTGTGGATGGTGTGCAACGAGACTTCGCTGCAGCACGGTAGGGGGAGCTCCGGAGAGCAGCGCGGCGTACGCAGTGAACTCCGTGTACTGGAGGCGTGCGGAGACAAGTGGTAAATACTCGGAATGCGACTATGCTGTCATGATTGACGTACCGTGAACAAGCCTTCCCAGACGCCCTCTAGGCTGCCAGAGATGAACGCTCCAGAGAACGCGGCGCCAAGCGGCTTGGACGTGTCAGCGAGATGCACCCCTCGCATCCACTCCGCCTCCCATTCGCTGCTGCTCATGCGGGGCGAGAGACTCGGCGGCAGCGCCGAAGGGGGCTTCATGTAGTGGATGGTGTCCCACGAGACGGACAGCTTGTTCGCGAGCGTGAGATACGCCAGGATCGCAGGTGGGGCAGCGGCCGGGGGAGCGATCTTGAGCGGATGTCCGAAGTGCTTGATCGCGGACCCTCCTCGCACCCGGCTTGGTGGCGAAAACTCGTTCCAGGCAGGGCAGCAGAGCGAGTACTAGTAATGCTGTGTGAGCGAGACGGGAGGTGGGTAAATACTGTATGCGCACGAACCTGATGTGCGCCGAGCGCGAAGACCTTGAGAATTCCAGATGCCTTCCTGAACTCGCAGTCGTCCGGGGACAAGTATTCGTCTGTATTAGAGCACGTAGGAGGTGGTCGGTATTCCTCTGTAAAGGCTCATGAGCCTCCCGATATTATCGGAGGAGCACTGTCGCCTGCAAGAACGTCGCAAGGCTCGGTCACGATGGACAGCGCCAGAAGTGTCGAAGACAACTGCTGAGGAACTCAACAATAGTTCTTCGAAACATGAGCTTCGTTTCTCAGAACGTGGATGCGCTTCTGGTAGGCGACTGAAACAGCATCCGCACCAGAGAACTTCCTCAAACATTCCTGACGACAAATCTAGCGCTGCACGCCGTAGCTGCTGGTGACTAGTCGTCGCCGCTGCGCGGATCGTAGTGATAGCATCGGGCAACCATAGCACATGCTAGCCCGAAGATCTAGGACTGCACTCACCAGGCTTGAGCATGTACCAGAACAGCCAGAGCGCAAGCGCAGAGCGTTCGTCGTTCGGAGGCCATAAGTCGTCCTTGACCGACAACGCGGCGAGCGAAGCACCCTCCGGATGGAAGAGGAAGTCCTTCAGCCAGCCGTCGAAGTGCGCATAGTCTTGGAGTTGCTTGCTGTTCTTCCCCTCGTTCTCCAGCATCATCAGGTAGGCCATCCACAAGATAGACCGGAGAGCGTCGCGATGCATCGGGCTGATATTGAGGGAACCTGCGTGGCAGTCCGTGCGCCGGCGGATGCGGCTCAGCAGTGTGCAGCGTAGCTTCAGTTCTTCGCATATCTCGGGCGGCCCGATCTCCCTGTCCCTTGCCGCAAGCCTCGACATCGGTGACGAGAGGTCAAACTTGAACTCGAAGATGCGCGACCAGAGGTAAGGATTGGAGGACATGGAGAGTGCATCGTGTGTGCGGCGGTCGACGCTGAGGAGCGGAATCAGTCCTTCGGGAGGTCCGAGGAAGTCGCTCGTAGCAGCGAAGAAGGCGATGTGCTCGAGGACTTCCTGTGGTATGCTGGAGAAGGTGGCCATCGTCGTCGAGGTCGGCGTGGTCGTCGTGGTCGTCGTCAGAGATGGTGTCCGCGCTTTTCGGAGATGCGAGCTCGCTGTTCCGCATGACCTCCACGCCTCCATCGGAGATCGAATCGGGTAGCCAATCGTGGCTCTACCATTTCGGGTAACTCGTCATCGCAAATGTCGCACTCGGCCAGCTCGGAGTTCGCTCGGAGCAATATGATTTGAATATGATAAGTATCAGTTCGCGGTAGAATACCATAGGATTTGAGCAGTAGGGCTACAGGTTGGTGGTAATTATTCACAGGTGTAACTTAGGAATACACTGAGGCAAAAAAGGACAGTAGGTGCCAACTCAATGAGTCCACTTGCAGCAGCGTCCGCGTCGACATGTCCGACCGTTGACAATATCGGCATCTAGAACCCTTCATCATCCACTCAAGGTATATGCTGGAGGACTGCCAAAGAGCTCGTAAGCCTCACGAGAAGAACGGACATAACGGTCGCCAGGGTAAGCTATCCTTGGCGGCGGCTCCAACCGGATCGTTGGTGGTCTCTCGCTGACCGGAGAGGTGGCCGCCGAGGAAGGCTGAGTTGTGAACTTCGTATCCGAGTCCGATGCGGTCATAACGGTAGTCGGCCTGCTCATCCGCGATAACTTCTCGATTCTGCAGTGGTGAGGTTTGGCCGGAACTTCCATGTGAACAGGGAGAGGAAGTGGAGGAGTGCGAGGTTGCACCATAGATTCAGCTAGAAGGCACGCTCGTTAGCAAAGAAATACAGTGGACGCAGTACGTGAGATTGCGCAGTACTTACCTGAAAATATGCTGGCTTTCCTTGTGCTTTCTTGCGACCGCGGATGATGACGGTACCATAGCACGGCGACCACCATGATACACAGCAGAGCTAGCCCGCCAATAATACCGCCGACTATTGCACGGACATTGTTGTCTGAGGTTCCCGCATTCGGTGCAGTAGTCCCGCCCGATGCTATGGTACTTGATTGAGGTGACGAAGGAAGGACGGGAGAAATCGTCGAAGTCGAAGAAGCGGCGGAAGAAAGAGAAGGAGCGGCTGGGTCGACGTCGAGCAACTCGAACTGCAGGTAGTCGACAACGTAGGGATAGCTTGGCCCAGCGTCCACCTCCACGGTCAACGTATGGCTTCCACTCGCCAAGTCATCGGCACTGAAGAGCACGACGTTCGTGGTGTCCAGCACGTTCGCCGGCTGCAACGTGATCGGGGGGCGATCGTCTAATGTGTAATTGGCCGTCACTGCATTCCCGCTGAGGCGAGGGAACGCGACACCAAACAACACGACGCGGTGAGTGCCTATGAGGATTATGCGCACAGTCAGTGGCTAAGTGTTGTGCATTGGAGGAAAACGCACCGGTGAAAGTGTAGGAAAACTTCAAAGGAAGAGTAATCGCGGTGAGGGTCTGGTCGAACACCTCCCCCTGAAATGCTTCGTTGAGATATGGCACGATCTCGGCATCCAGAGCCGGGAAGTCTATAGGTCGAACTGGCCAAGGAATGTCCGCATCATCGACGACGGTGATGTTCTGGGTTTCCCTAGGATACACAACCGTCGGCGTAAACATGACTCAGGAAGCAAGGGTTGGAAGAGACGAAACGAGACGAGAGCAGATGGGCGTCCCAAGAGTGGTCACTGTGGTCATATATGCGACCGCAGAGGATAGAAAATTCGAACGCAGGGTCCATGGCCTTGTCTGGAGTTGTGCCACCCCGCAGCCGGTCGTTCAGCAGTCCGCGTAGCACCGAGCTAGTGTGTCGCCTGCTTGCATGGGCGAAGCGGGAGAACAAGGACATCACGTAGTAGCGGCCTGAGCCGATGCCGTACCTGATGCTATCACCGCTGTGGCGCACCCACTCGGTTCCGGTCGTTCCTGCGACTCCCAGAGTTCCGCGTCGTCCCTTAGCAAGGCATTGCGGCTCGACTGGTCCGTGGGTGCTGTACTGGCAGTTGAGTATTGAGGAGCCAGCCCGCCACGCGGGAGCCCGGAGGTTGCGAATCAGCCAAGCAGGGACCCGGAGGGATCAGCGTACCCGAGGTGTACCGCATGCCTCGTATGGTCAACCGAGAGTTGTGGGCGCATGGGAATTTGACGGATAGACGCCTCGAGTGCCTTATACTCGGTGTGGTCCATGAGGACCTCCAACGGCGGGTCTTGGTCAGTTCAACGCCTCGGGACCGGGGAACTGCACGTGCAAAGTGCTCATCACGTAGTCAGTGCGAATGGGTTGTTATGTGCTACTCAGCGAGACGGAGGAGTGCCACCGAGACGCATGGGAACTGGAGCGCCGCGGGAGTTTTCATCATGCTTGGCCATGTGTTCAGTTCAAGCTCGGTGGTCCGGTCCAAACAAAGAATCCACCTCTACGACGTTGTAGAGCAT